AGCTTCATAGAAAGTCTTGTTGCAAATTTCGCAAGATTGGGGCTTTCCGGTGGTATGAAGAGCCCGATGAGCTCTCAAGTCAACAACTTGAGGGAAAGTCATATGACATATTTTACAAAGATGAGGCTTATAATCGGAAAGAATATGCACGTGTTGATTCAAAATATCATTTCGGGGAAAAACCATGTTGCTAATTTCAAAATGAAAACTTAACTACTTGTTTTATTTGGTCAATAGTTATTTAAAATAAAGCGAAGAAACAGATGACTGATTACTTCGCTTAACATGAATAGCGGTTTAAAATTATATTTTCATGTTAATTTGCTTTATTTCAACGTATTACTAAAATCGAAATCAGATTTTTTACTATCTTTTAAATCAACAACCTAAAAAGAGAAATTCCGAATGTTACTGCTTTAAATGAATTAAAGACGTGTCATACTTTTTCTCTCTTCAGTTAGCTCGAAAAATTGAGTTTTTTAATGGCACGTGCGTAATACTCAATCAAAATCTAAAATATATTTACTTAATATAGAAAGTTATACACTCTTGGATTTGCTAGTATTTTAAAAGGTATCGCCGTTAGAAGCAACACGAGGGATTTTAGCGATGGGTCTCGTTATTTCCACACGCATTCGTGACGAGGACCGCACCTGAGTCGGCACCCCTCTTCCCATGCCACGCATGCGGGAGAAGTTTCACTTCCGACAGATTTCACGTCATGGAGGGTCATAAGTGACACTTGCCACGAACTCATGGCACGCTGGCCACGAGTACGCAATTGTGACCACTAAGCTAACGCAACCACATGGTTTTAATGAAATGGGAAGTGAGATTTATTTATATTGAGCATTTGACAGCAATAACAAGTCTACACAGACACTAATATCGTTTACAATCTTTCCATTACTAAAATTATAAATCCAGTTAGTCGTGTATTGTTTCATCCACAGATAACGTTAACTAAGCAGAATAAATGAATTAAAAAAATTCTTCCGAAATGGAGGAAGTCAAGTACTGCATGAATATTGCCGAGAGTGTTTTCAGATTCTACATTGGCTGGATCCTTTACTTAGAGAGTGAGTCAATATTAACGTTGCACCGGTCAGTTATTTGAGGGCCATTGATGACGGAACTCGCAAATTTGAAACAATGGTCAAGTGACGAGGACACTTCCTGAGCTGACCCTCTTTCCTAAATTCCTAACCTCACAAGTAGAAGGACGTATGAACCCCGACAGATTTAATGTACATCGGCCTCCTCTATAGTAAGGCGGGTCCTTAGCGGTACTAGGCTTGAACTCAAGACACGCCGGTCACCAGTCCGTTACCTTGACCCCTAGGCTACTATGACCACGATGGATATTTTAGATCAGAAAGCATTTGAATTTAATTTCATTGATCCCTTCCGATGGACAAACGATCTATAAGATGAAAACGGGAAGGAGATGGATATATTTTTGCCCCCCAGACCACTACGAACCATATATTCAATGGCCTATAACTCACAGATATTGGTATACGGAAGGATGGACTCTTCTTTAAATGTTTCGAAATACCAAAGGAGTTATTTACTAGCCTTTCGATGAATTTATTACGCTGCGTTGATTGTGGCTTAGTTGTATTTCCTCTCGCTCTTTCCTCATATTTGGTAGTTTTCGTCTCGGGAGGTTAAGGTATCCGACTACCCTAAAATCGTAGATATTGCAGAAAATTGGCAACTCTTTTCATGACACTATTTTATAGGTCATCTTATTAGCTTTATAAAAACATCAAGTTAATTATATTTCCATATTCCCACTATTTTGGAAATACTCACACACATTTCAGTATGTAAAATAAATTCATTTATCATTGTTACTAAAAAAAATGAATAATCACCCTACGACAATGGTAAATATACTTTCATCAAGCAATTTCCTATGAAGACATTAAATATATTTTAACAGAAACACACTAAACGAACGTATATATATCATTTTTCGTCCAATCCTTTTTTTTCAGTTTCTGATTTTAGTTTTATTGTATGTGTGCGTGTTTATACTTTTTATCTTAAATTTTCCAGACATATTTTCATAGGAGCAAATAATCATTTTTAAGTCATAAAACATAATTTAAAAATAAATTTTAAAAAATAAAAGGGATAAAATATGTTAAATGAAAGTTAAATTATATAAAACGAAAAGAATAAAAATTTACCCATGCAATTGAAATTCGTATAAAAGTTTAAAACTGCGTATTTGGAATATTTTATTTTTATAATTCATTCTCTTGATTGAATAAGAAAATATATTAAAACGGATTTAATCTAAAGAAAACAATGATTCTATTGTGTTAAAGTCTTTTAAGAACAGTGTTAATTTATGCATGTGAAACTTGGTCCATGTTTCGAACAGATGAGAACACATGATAAGTATCTACGAAAAGAAGTTTTAAAGATTTATTTTTGGAGGAATTCAGGAAAATGGAACGCGGCAAAAATGAAATTTAGAGCTCTATGAATCATATGAAGAATCTGATATTGTTAATTTTATGAAAATATAAGAAATTAAACGGGCAGGTAACGTCGTCAGATTGACAAAAACCACACCATTAAAAAAGACTTCAATGCCTAACCAATTTGCACCCGAAGAAAGGGCAGGCTAAATCTTAGATGGATTGATGACCTGGAAAAGTCTCCTAGTTTTGAGAACTAAGATTTCGAGAACACGAGCAAGAAAAAGGCTGGCCTGGAAAAGGCATCATGAGAAGGCCAAGTTCCATCTTGAGCTTTCGAGCCACTTATGAAGGAAGGAAGGAAAAAATTCACTCTATCAGTTTGGAATAATTTTTTAAAGCAAGTTACTTTCACCCTCATAGCAAACCATTAAACTTTAACATTAGACTCATTATTTTTTTTAAATAAGCCCAAATTTAAAATTTTCTTAATAATTTCAATAAACAAAGAGTTAAATAATTGCAAGTCATACTGTGCGTTTGATTTGTACACATACACGAAACTTCATTTTCGTACCAAAACCAATTACAACTATGACAAATGCGTTTCTTCCAATCCGCGTTAAATATTTCCACAACCAGAATCTCATCCCCAAACATACTTACAGACTTTCAACATTTACAAACGTTAATCTGCGTTGAAACATTAAGTAAGTTTCCTCCAAATCCCGTAATAACCTTATTTTTGGATGCTACGCCTCATAAAACCTAAGCTGCATCCAATTTTTGATAGAGGCTTCAGTAATTTCAGCTTTTTTCTCACCCTCTATCTCCCCCACCCAGTGGATTACTCTCAAGGTTGAATATTCCATAGGGAGAATTTTCTTTCTTATTTACTATCAGCATCCACCCTACAGAGAATGTGTACCATTCAAGTTTTTCTGCATAAAAAATATTATTTGGTGAAATATTTTATTCTCTCTATCTATCTATCTCTATCTTATGTATACTGTGACGTCTTCGATTGGGGTGAACCCCCCCTCTATTCATCTGAAGTTTTATGGCCCCAAACAGACGTTGGGTGACAAGAGCAGGTGGCATGGATTCATTGTTTGTTGTCTGGCCTCGGACAAGCGCAAGACATCGGATCTGGAATTTACAATGGCTTAAGAATGCCGGGACAATAGGAATTCCTGTATGAAAGTCGGTGCATAGAGAAAAAGGCTATGAGGCCCAGGTGAAGAGATGAATGGAAGTTGCAGAAGTTGGATGAGAATTATGGCGCCCTTGGATTCCAGACAGACGAGGAATGTGTTTGTGTTTGCCGCGCAAATGTGAGACGAATGTTCCCCGGGGACGAGGGCAGACCTTTTTTTTTGGCCTGCCAATGAGGAAGACGAGGGGCGTGTGGTGGACCCGCCCCTGGTGTTTAAAAGGGGTGAATTTTGAGGAGAAAAGGGGAAGAAAGAAACTTGAAGAAAAGGAGATCTTGGACGGAGAGGAAAACTTGGAGAGAGCCCTGGATGGAAACAAAGGGATAGAGCCCTGGAGTGAGACGGGCGGAGCCCTGGATGGAAACAGAGAACCATGGAGTAAACTGGAGAGGAGCCCGGAAAAGCAAGGCATTGTCGAGTGCCTTTCGGAATAAGGATTGACCTCCAGTGAAAAAGACTGTCCGCCCGGCTTGGCATATTTATTGGACTTTTTAATAACATATGAAGCTATTAAATACTGTTTAAATTTTAAAATGAGGCTGTGACAAATTTTCTTGTTTTCTAACTACTGACGACGTTACAATACCTGGATCCCGCAATCGAATCGGTTTTTGCGATTGGGTTTTTACTCTTTCTGCAGTTTCTGGGTAAACCTCAATTCATTTTGGCGGATCATTCTGGAAATTGTTAAAAATAGCTCCCGAGGTGTAAAACTATCCGTTTTCTGGGATCGAATGTTTTCTGGAAAGACAGAACGTTTGTCTGAGGAATTGATTTCGCTCTGCTTGCTAATTTATAGGTGGAGGAAAGGGATTCACTCTACAGACATATATTTTGTGACGGAACAAATGATATCTATTCGGTGTGAAAAAGAGACCCATTTTGAATTTTCTCAGTCTTAGGAAAGCGTGCAAAATTGTATGGTATTAGAAATAAATCCGGTTTTTCCAAATAAATCCCTTCAAAGAATACATGTTTAGTTTTAACATAAATAAATCTGAAATAATCTCCTTAACAAGTTTAAAGTATACAATATGAATGAAAGAAAGTGTATGCTTAGGGTTGGAGAGGGAGAATATTTTTTCAATTCTTCCTATTAGTCCTAATTCTTACTCTTCCCTATATATATTTTTATATATATATACGTTGCTCAAATTTTAAATCATTAATAAAATACTTTCCATTCATCCATTCAAGTTCAAACACAATTTTTAAAACTTGTAGTGGATGACACTTGATTTTAATTCTTTTTTTCAAATATTAATTCATTAATTAAACTAAAAATAATTAAATAGTAACAAACAGAAATAATAGTCCAACAGCATATATAGAAAGGAAAATTGTTCGTTATATCCCAGTTGCGCAATGCATAGCGCGTTGGATTTCAAATACAAAAGCCGTGGGTTCAAATCCCTCCTGGTATGGCCTAATTTATGAGTATGTGATTTCTTTTTACTATACTATGTTATTGGAATAATTAAATTTAATTAATAAATAAATAGTAACAAACAACAAAAAAAATAGTCCAACATCCTATATAGAAAGGAAAATGGTATAATACAAGGAAAATCGTATGTTACGTAAAATACTTAAGTTTCAGAGAAACCGCGCATGCCCTCCGAACAGATGCGTATAAATATAGAGCTGTAGCAGAACGTTGAAAATAGTTAATGATGATTTGTTAGTGGTGAAAGTTCAGTGAGACCTAAGTATGCCTCCACGACGAAATAAGGAGAATTCCAATATTTTACGAAGTTTGAATGGGGATGGTTATCAGCCTTCGAGAAGGAAGATTTTCCTATCACGCAATAGGAGCTCGTGTGCAGCGGAACAGTTCAACAGTGATGCGACTTTGGAAGCAGTGGACCGACGAGCACCAAAAAATTCGGAAAACTGGCAGTGGATGACAGAAGGTGACGTCAGCGTGTGACGATCGACACCTGCTCTGCATGGCGATGAATGATCGTACAGCTTCCTCCAGGCAGTTGGCAGCACGCTGGTCTGCTACTAGAGGTGTACTAATGTCGGCTTCATCAATTTGTCGACGTCTGCTGCGCTGTTGATTGAATGTAAGTGTGCCTTTATACAGGACCCCCCTCTCGGCAAACCATCGACGGCTGCGTCTGCAATGGGCTCATGAGCACAGAGCCTGGCATGCTGATTGGCACCAAGTTGTCTTTTCAGATGTGAATAACGCTTCAATTTGAGGGACCGTGATAATCGCATTCTTGTCAGACGCTAAACTAGTGAACGCTGCATTCCAGACAGTGTTGTCTAACGACACAGTGGCCTAACTCCCGGAGTTATGGTTTGGGATGCGATTTCATAAAATGGGCGATCCATTTGCTACGAATTGAGGGTAATTTCAATAGCAACAGCTACCTACGTGAAGTGCTGAAGCCCGAAGACGTTGCCTTCCCTCAAGGCATTCCTGGAAGTATCTTTCAGTAGGATAATGCACGGCCACATGTTGCAAATATTGTTCGAAACTTCTGTTCAGCCCCATTCATGCAACTTCTTTCTTAGTCTGCTTATTCACCGAATGTGTCGCCTATTGAATACGTGTGGGATTTTGTTGGTCGACGTCTTGCTCGTGATCCGCGTCCTGCAGCTTCAAAAGACGGAACTTTTGCTGTGCATACAAGCAGTATGGAATTCTCTTTCACAAGCAGACATTCAAAATCTGTTTGATTCTATGCCACGTCGTATAGCAACACTTTTTGCAGGACGTTGTGGCTACACCAAATACTGATTTCGACATTTAATGTTTTTTTGCTTTGACAATTTCGTTTTTATTTGTATTAATACAAGCTGTTTGCGTATTAAATTTAATTAAATTCTGATTATTCCTTCATGGTGTTTCATTTTTTACAAACATTAGTTTAGCAATAACGCTACAGTTATTCGTGTTCGTTATTGAGAATATATGTAAAATTACCCAAACAATAATTGTGGACTCTCGAAAAGAAAAAACTTCCTAATAAAATTTACTATCTTAAATAAAAATTGGTTTTTTGAACCTTTTAATATCGCAAAGCATATTTCTAAATACAGATAAATTATTTTTTGTTTTCATGAAAACTTTCTTTTTAAGAATTTGTGTGTAAGAAAATAAATCAAAATGAATGTGTTTTGGTGCGTTTTTCTATTTTTAGAAATTAAATGATAAATATTACATTCATTACATTTATTATGCCATATTTTCCTACTTCATTTCATGATAGGAAAAGAAGTGGAATTCTCCCACACACACACAGTTCAACTAAAAAAGAACAATGCATCCATTACCTAAATCTAAATTTCTACTTAAAACGTATTCATCCAAAAGAACAAATTCTAAAATATTTCCCAAACACAGTATTTGAAAAATTCCTAAACATAATAATGGTCCATGCTCTTATTTAAAGGTTATCTGTAAAAAATAGTAAATCAACATGTTTCTATATGCCCTTTTTAAAAATATACTTTCAATCAAGAAAATGCCAAAGAAAGAATAATTCTTCTAACGACTTAACATTTTTTTAAAAATAGTTTTCAAAAAATAGAAAAAAAAATAAGATTTAATTTTCCAATAAAAAAAATTTAAGAATGTCCGGCAACCCGATCAGGGGCACTTATTAAATTGAATGAGTTTATGTACCTTTTTCTCGGAAACTGCTTACTTCTAATGGATAAAACTTTAAAAGTGTGTTACGTGTACTATAAGTAAAACTCTCACAAAGGTCTTTTTGTTTAAAATTAAAGTAATTGCGAATTTTTTAAAAAAATGTCGAATTTTTTTCGCTAAAATTTAGTTTAAGAAAGCATTATCTAGAAAAGTTTGCTAGATGTATCTAATCCAGTGTTTCTCAACTATGGCGCCCCTTTGGGGGCGCGATAACCCTTCAAGGGGGAGCATATCGAAAATAAAAAGGTTAAAAAATTAATTTACTGGAAATGAAAAAAAACAAAATACTTTTGATATAATAAAAAATACGATTTACATTGATATGATTTATATATCATCTGGTGAAAAGGTAATCAAAATAAGATTCTACTTGAACGCATACATTAGACTATCTTTGGATCCTATAACTAAATAAAAAATATTTTGTTTGCTTTGCTGTAATCCTACGATGAGATTTTTTATTACGTTTCTTTAACTTAAAATATTACTTTTGCTGGTTTTCGAAAATTACAGTATGGTTACCTGCATCCCTTTTAGGGAAGTTATAAATTATATAATTCTGTTCTTTTTTCACAATGTGAAAGAGTTTTTTGATTCTGATAAGCAAAGTTTGAGCACTTTGAAGGAATAATTGGCCAAGATTTATTTTATGAGTATACTGAAACATATAATACAAAAATCGTTAATTCTGGCAAAACTGTTTATTTGTTACCAATGACCTTTGACAGAGAATCCTCTAATTGACAGTCTTAATGGGAGCTAAAATGAATTGATAACATAAATTTCCTTTTGGGAGTGGCAAACGTTTTTAGAATCTTAAGGTTTTTTAGACAGTTCCCGGCATCGACCACTATTTTCAAAAATACTTTCTTGAACATGCTGCATTTTCCCTATGAATAACTTAGTGGTTTTAATTGTGATGTTGTACGACTGATTATGGTTTATAAAAGTAAATGAGCAGAATCTAAAAGAATTGGGCATCTGTGATCTCTGAAAGGAAATTGAAGCTGATCAAACAAGGGAAACACTTGCTGAAATAATGCATATTAATCATGTTAGGAAAGAAATTTTAAAAAAAGTGTGTTACTTTACTATCAGAAAAACTCGCAAAGGTCTTTTTTTTAAAAATTAAAGTAATTAAAAATTTTTAAAAAAAAATGCCCAATTTTTTTTCGCCCAAATTTAGTTTAAAAAACCCTTTTATCAAAAAAAGTTTGCTAGAGGGTTCTAATCCTTCATTAAAACGTGTAAACATGTTAAAAATATGCTCATTGAAAATTAGAGGATTATATAATAAGTAGTTTTGGAAAAAAAAAGTACGTGCAGTAAAAAATATTACATTTTGAGGAAAAACAGGCCTTAAGGTAAAAATTTGTAACTTTTGAGCATTAACTTACTTTGATACTTTCCCGAAGAATTTTGGGGCTGGGGTTTTTGGAAGTTCGGAGCGGGACATGGGGGGAAATTTGGCCCCGTTTCCCCCCCGTGGGGAATGGGGGAAATTGTGGCCAAAGTTAATTGGTGGGGTGGGAGTTAGAAAGAGGTGAAAAAGCTCGGGTGCCCCTTTTCCTTTCGTTCAAAATAACGGGGGTCCGTAGCCAAAACCCTCGTGTAGCTTTTACAGTGCGACATAAATATATTCATTCATTCTAGAAGCATATGGAGCATTTTCTTTTTAAAACTTTCTGTTTTTCCAAAAGTTTTCTTCTAATTTTTTTTTTTTTTTCCTTAAATTTTTTTAAAAATTTTACCCTTCTTTGGGTGGGATCTCAAGATGCTTTTGGGCCCCCACGAACCCTACTTGTATCAAATTTTTTTAAAACATGCCGCCCCACAAATTGGTTCAATATCACATTTTTTTAAAAAATCTTTAAATTTTTTTGCTACATAATTTATTGAACGGCAAAGCCAAAATTTTTCCCCCTAAATATTTTAGGGGTTTTAAAACCCAAAAATGTGTGGGTTTTGGGGAAATTTACTAAACCATTTTGTGTTTTTAACCCGGCCCTCATACGTTCTGATTATTTCCATGTAAACATTTTTTTAATACCATAGGATCACTTATCCCCTAAAAAGGCTTCATTTAATTCATTGTGGTATGTAGCACGTGGGTATATGTTGATAAATCATGATACTTTTCCCCAACTTTTGTTCCTCCCTTTGGGGAAAACGTGCACCATGAATTTAAAACCCTCAAAACAAAATCCACATTGAGGTCTCTCGTTTGTAGACAGAATAAGGTAATAAACAACTCAAAGAAATTTCATGTAGTGTAGATATATTATCGGTAAAGGTCGGAGACCCAGGCGTTTTCCATAACTTAATTTTTTTTCTTTTTTTGTTTTTAAGATCAAAAGAGGCCCCCATGCACTTTTAGATATACCCAACAGCCCTCTAATTTTTCCACTTGAACATCATCTGGATTTGCACTCATTTGCACAAGTGCTCCTAGCAGAGCTCATTCAATGCTCGTCAAGGAGTAGCTTCGTTTAATAAATAAATAAAAATGCTCCTAATTATCGTATTTCCTCATGTCATATATCATTTTAAACAGAAATATTTGAACTTATAGAAAATATAAGAAAAAAAAAAATTCAAATTTTTGGAAGCATCTTTGTACCGATCCACTTTTTTGGGATCCAGATCAAACATCCCCAAAACAAAAAGGGGATATTTTGAAAAACCTCAAAAATTATTATTTTTTTAAAAAAAGTTTAAAGAAAATTTTTTAAATTTGGAAAAAACCCCATTCTAAAT